GAAGGCAAAGGAGATGGGGAGAGGTAGAGGGAGAGCACATGCTGCTTCGTTTAGCAGCACATTCCCACCTTGAAATGCACCGAGTGGCCAAGCCACTGGCCAGCATTTATCCCTCTGATAAAATAATGTGTTGGGAAGTGGATTGCAGGCTGCCAGGATGGAGACAGCAGCGACGTGAGTGGCTACTCTCTCTGGCAAACATTGGCAAATGAATGTCACACTAGTAGCCTGGGTCTCCCCGATACGGCCAGCTCTGAGCTGGAGCCCGTGCCATCAGCACTGAAAACAAGCCCTGCGCTGGAGGCAGTGACAGCAGGAGCAGGCTCCTCTTTCCCATCTCATGATGGCATCTGATGAGAGATGAGAGGCATCCCATCTCTGCTTAAAGAGGAAGGAGCTTGCGTTCTCATGGCAGCAGCTGGTCCATGGGCAGTGGCTGGTGCTGTGCTGCCCAAAGTCAGCTCTCCACTCATGGTGCTGGCGGTAGCTTTGGAAGGATCTGCTGGAGGAAAGGGCTAGCACCAAGTGAGGGAAAAAAAAGGCTGAGTCTTTGTGTTCACCTCTCTTATCTCCTGCACTTCTTCTGGCTTTGATTGTTCATCGGGGTGGTTGGAAAGGCATATTTATCCTGCCTTCAGCCCGGCACCTTGCATCTTGTCTCCTTTCAACTGGCAGAGCAGGAGGCCAAGACTGGGTGTGAGGTGTCTTGCTAAAAGATGGCAGCTTTCTGTCGAGAAGGAGCATGGGGGTCAAGAGGAAAGGAGGGCAGAAAAGAGTGTAAGAGCAAGAAAACAGAAACCCAGAAACAGGAGAGGGAAGACTGCCAGAAAAAAGAGAATCATAGAATCATAGAATCGTTTAGGTTGGAAAAGACCTTTAAGATCATCAAGTCCAACCTTTAACAAGTTGATTGTGTTCTTCCAAGCGCAGCCCATGCAACTGATAAGGTGTTTGTGACAACTGAGCATAGGCCTTACCCATCGGAGGGAGAAGGAGGAGAAACACAAGTCCCATATTCAGGTGACTCATTTTTTCAAGCTGCATATGGCTGGACTTTTTCCTGGAAGCCATTCCCAAACTCAAATCAAAGTTTACTTCCAAGAGAAGTATAATTCTGCAGCTGACTTAGAGAAGCGAGATCTTCCACCAGCCAAAGGGATGGTTGTAACGCTCACAGGAGTATTCTGCAGCTTCTCAGTCACAGGTACATTCCCCACCCTGCCCTGGTTTTAATTAACAAAGAGATTAGAGCATTTTCACCGATGTGAGGTCTTTAATCCACTGTATTTGTTCTCAGTCAAAATGCAGTATTGACTTTCCCTGATGTGGTTATGTATTTCTGAGCATTTTGCGTTCACTGAAATCTTTGCCCAGGCTGAAAGATAAAGCAATTAGCAGCACCATTCTTATGGCCATATCCAGGATGAAGTCGTAACAAAAAATAAAGAAGAGTCTCAATGTCACTGTTCATAAAATCCTCCTTCTTAAACACTTTCAGGTATCTGTTAGAAAATTATTTAGCTAAGTGACATGCTCTGTTTTTCATCAACTCTAACAAAGCCAGAAAAAGGAGAAGGACTGGTTATGCCTTCTAATCTAATTGAACATTGCTTCATTGATATGGTCTTTCACAATAAAGAAGTTTTGCACAGCTCTGTGTAATCTCTCTCTTAAACAGTGCTCTGAAACCAAATTTGATCAAGAGCTAGCAACATGCCTATCACGCTTATGCTAAAAATGTGCCACTCTAGAGGTGTTTTATTCCACATGGTGTATTAGGAAAGCTGAAGATAAGAGCAGCAGCAGACTACTAACCCTGCAGTTTAGTTAAAATACAACCCCCCCCACCTCTCTCATGCTTCATGGACTGTTTCAACTTGCTATGACCCATGCTGCTCTCTCCTACAGATTTTGGCAAAAGTCAGGCTAGTAAATTGATTCTTCTCATGACTGATTAGCCTCAGTTTCCATATAGCTTAGCACCACACAAGTAAAATGCCTGGGAACAGATTTGTCTGAAAGTCTGATTCCACAGATCAAAATCCCTAAGGAACGTCTCAAAAAAATTCAGATCCCAGTTTCCATCTCCATTGCTATTTCCCATGAAGACACTACCCCACAATTCCAACCCACATGGTTCCCCTAAAGAAGGAGGAGAAAAGGTGGAGTTGTGGGAACAGACGAAACGAAGAAAGACTGAAGGAAGAGCAGATAGATATTTATATTGCTTTGAGTTCCGAAGATTTCAAGCCATCTTCCTACTGACTCATGGTGCTGGACATGCTTTGAATAACTGCCTGACCTTCCTCCTTTGCCCTCTGACTTGTCTTCTGCCGCAGCTGGCTGCTCTTGTTGCCCGCGATGCGTAGAGCCCTTGGGGCCATGGGTGGCTTTTGCCAGCAAGGTTGGCCTCATGGGGCGGCGGACTGCCTGGGGGCTGCAGAAACGAAACGTGTCATCCTCATCGGAGTGATGGCAAGCTGGGGAGGTGCTTCTTGCTTGTGCTCTGCCCCATGTGGACCTTACTTGCTCCAGCCCAGCTAGCTCATCTGCCTCTTGCTCTGGGCATGTGGCTCAGCTCACTTCCATCGCCCTTTCCTCTTTCTCCTCTCCCAAAGGCTGTGGGGTCTCCTGTCCCCTATGCTTTTGCTCTTTTTCAGGCAAGTCTTAAGGCAATCAGATAGCTGCTCCTTTCACAGCCCAGCTTAGCTCTTCTGTCTTGCTCTCCATTTTGTTGCGGGCTACTTCTTTCAGATCCTGGCAATGCCGCTTCACTAAATAGTGTATATGGTGGGAATAGCCACATTGGCTTTCTGGTCCTCATGCATACATACCTTTGTATGCAAGTACTGGTTTGTGCTGTGGGAGGACATCACAGGGTCCATCAGGTGGACATCCCATAAGCTGCCCAGAACTCTATTCTATATTTTAATAAAATTTTGTCTCAGCTTTTGAACGGTCCCACTGGGTGCAGAAGACTGTAACAGCACATTAAGCCCTTGACATCTATTACATGGGCTTAGAAATTTGGGTTAGGGCTAGGCATCTCCACACCACCTGTACAGGGTTGATCCGTGGTCTCTAGCACAGCTGGGCCCGAAAGGGCAAAGCTGAGGGCACCTGACTCCGAGGGGACAAGGTGTCCCCAGGCTTGCTGAGCTGGGCCCGGGCAGCAGCTTTGCAAGCTCTCCTGCTGAGCCTCCGATGTCTGTCTGCTGACATCTTCTGCACGAGGACTTTGTTTCTCCCCTGCGAGCTCTCCCCAGAGGAAATCCTGCCTCTCGCCGAATGCCTGGCGTGCTGGAGCAGAACCCGGCTGGGGCTTCCTCCTGCACCTCTGCAATGGTTAATGAGTGAGGTCAACACAAAGGCATTTCTAGCCGCAGGTCAGCTCATCTACAGCTGATGTTGCTGGGATCTGGATGACCAGACTGAAGAGACAACAAACCAGTCAAAGCAAAACCTATTTCCCCTGTCAGCTGTGAACTATCTTGCTGTCTAATAGTCAAGTTCCATCTCGATGGGGAAACCCGCCGGTCTGACGGATACCATTCGGAAATAGCCTTGCGTTGTTTTCCAAAGGCTTAAGACATTTCTAACACACGCAATCCTTGCTAAATTTTCCGAGCAAGTGACATGTAAACAGTGATTCTTGCAGAGAAAGAACGTGTGTTTTCCACTTCACTTACAGCCTTTGTACCGTGAGGCAAAGGAGCTGCATGGCTCCGGGGCATGGAAGACCCAGCTGCGGCAGGGCACGCTCCTCCCTGCTAAAGGCACCAGGGAGCCCAAAGAAACCGACCTGGTGAGGAGGGCAAGGCAGAAGCATCACCAAACGGTATCGTTCTCCATAAGGTTTTAGTACTCAGTGATTTATGTTTCTGAATAAAGCACATCAAGCATATTGGATGGCTCAGTGGCTGTTCTACACTAAAGTGCTTTCTAGCTCCTTTTTCACATACTGTCACTAAGTCTTATGGAGTATCTCACAAGTGGAAAATGAGGTGGAATTGAAATAAATTGTCCTGGAGGCAGCTGCAGGCTCCTGGGTGTTTAATGTGTAAAAGTCTAGCAAGCATCACTTCACTTACAAGACATTCATTTGCCAAAGGTTTATTTTACAAGCTCTATACACTGCTGTTATTATTTGTGTTTTTATCAGGCCTTAGATTTGCACGGAAAATAGGATCTCTTTGAATCTGACACCTTACCACAAGAGAATAAGAAGTTGTCCTGCACTCGGCAGCTTAAGTTTGAAACCAAGGACAGATGAAGGAGGGAAAGAAAGGCACGGCGAAGGTTCGGTTACCTACCTGAGTTCACGCAGCAAAGCAGCAGACCCTAATTCACAGCCCTGCAGCTGCAGGCACGTCCTGAGCCTCACGCCAGCTCCGTGTCCCCGCTGCAGCTTTCAGTGGCATGGCTTGTCACTCTTTGTTTGCATCTCAGAATGAGTTACGGCTGGACTAGGGGATACAGCTGGGACCGAAACATGAAAACCTAAGAAGGGAAAGAATAAAAGGAAGGAGTGAAGGACGATAAGCGCATTTTCAGGTGATTTGGTGTCATAGGGATGAAAGGAAAGGGTCAGGCGCCAGAGGCAGACAGCAGTGCTGACAGTGCCCTCACAGACAACAGCGCAGAAGGTGCCGAGAGAGAAGGAAGAGGGGTGAAAGGGCTGCCAAGCAGGCGCAGGGCCATGGCTAGTGAAAAAGGAGGCGAGAGCCGGGGTGAAGTGGGTCGAGAAGGGGCAGAGGAGCTGGCAGACAGGCTGGGAACGAGGAGGAAGGCGACAGCTCTCTGAAAGCGCTGCAAGGCGAAGACTTAGACGAAGATTTGAGCCAGGTTGTGAGGTAGGTGGAGGACGGTACAGAGACGGGCAGGCCCAACCCCATGGGACAGGGGGAAGCAGCAGGGGAAGGAAATGCAGCAGCACTGCCAGCAGCACAGCTACTGCAGACTTCAGCTTCAGGGAGTGCAGAAAAGGGCAGAGGAGTGACAACTATGGAGGGTCTGTTTGCTTGGGAGAAAGCACATCTGTCCCTAAAACTGGTGGTAAGGCATGAAAGCAAGAGCACTGAATGAGCAGCTCCCCATAGCTGGGGGCATGAGCATCGCTAAGCCCAACACACCCTGGAAAACTCAAATTATTATATTTTACCTTGCAACCAGAAGGATGGGTATCGCACCCCAAACTGCAGTTTCCTTTCCCAGCCACCCCCGGAGCTCCCTGAGCCGAATGACGGCCAGGAGCCGGCGGGGGCTGCCGGGCTCC